AAATCATTAGTTTTTATGGTAGGTACTACAAAGTGATGGGCAGCTGACTTCGAAGTGGAAAAATTGGGTTTAGTAGGTATATTGTTTTTTTTCGATGTGATAGGTAATATATACGTATATCAGTCGGTGACTGCAAGTGTATAAGAGTTAATATTATTATGTATTTTATGTCGTTTTGATTTTTTAGCAAATTATTTTCGTAGTATAGCCAGTTATTACACAAACATGGATGACAATATTATAATATCATATTATCGTATTGGAAACCCACAAATCTACAGCAAAATTTTAATTTATGATAATGTTATACATGCTTTAAATTCATATATTTTTAATATTTTTTATGAACATGTTTTCAAATCGAAATGGTGTCACTGCGAGCTTTCCGAACAGGAAATTTTATAAATCTAATATAACGCAAGTGTGCCCAATACACACATGAGTTGGTAAATGATGAACTTGTACGCCGTGGGATTTTGAACTGAAAAAAACCCATTCAATATACGTTTTCAATCATTGTAAATTGATCCATTGCAATACCGAACCTGGGGGAACAACCATTAAATACACTATATAGCACACTTTAGAACTGGTATGTAATGTAGTTTGGCCGTATTATAATTGTGATTTAACATAATCTGCAGTAATATAAAATAATTATTATTATGCACCTAGACATTACGACGAATCGTTTTTTTTCAGGTTTTTTTTTCTTTATTCGAAATTAATTGACGAAAAATCGAGTATAATTTACAATACATCGTCGGGAGGAAATCATTCCACGCTTGATTAAACGTTACCTGTGCGATTGTTGAGAATTCAATATCAGCGTCGATTGAATTATAATAAAATGTACCTCGAGTAGATCTTAGTGGAAAATGTTATTACTGTTTTATATCAAAAAAATAAATCAAACTTGTTGCAATATTGCAGCCATACGATACACACCGTTCCTCCGACCATTGCAAATATCAAATATGCATTTATTGTATGGCTATAATAGTTGTTATTAAATTTTTTTCGACGTGTCGAGGAAACTACTATAGTACGCAAACAAAATTATCACACACATCGTTGCAGCTTAATGATTTCCACCAGCATATATCTCTTGTGAACGAGGATGTATCGATTTGCGAGTATAACATAAAATAAAAATAATAAATTTAAGAAAAAAACACGAATCGGAAGTATAATTATAATTTATAGTGACCCCGCAACGTGGATGATAAATCCAAATATAAGAACGCCCCTGGAGACTTAACGCGAATACGGTCACAAAACGTATACACACAACGACCGTAAATGTTACGGGGAAAACGAAGTGATCGAAGCATTTGTATAAGTCATTACGACTAGACTGAAAAACAACTGAATCGCTAACTACTGCTGATTGGACACCACAAGTCCATTTTCATCATAATTTCGTATACTTGACAAGTAAATCCCAACATTTCTGCGAAAAGCGAATTATATCTGAGTGTCCGAATATTTAAAAATAGGGCTCGACAATTGCAGTTGGCATCAAAATAGGGACATATATTATAAACCAAAGCATTTTTGTGCCTAAAAAACATAAAATGTGCATTTTCTGCGTGGTTAGCGGTTAAGTTGTTTTTCAGTAATATGTTACATAATAGTCCATAATACAAACAGTATAATAATATTGTTATGGGTACCCACCCAACAGTCGTGTGCATATCGGTCTATGCTATTATAATAATTTGTCAGGCAGGGAAAGTGTGCAGCAACAGATGCATTTACATTGCTTTTGTGCGCTTTTGCGTGAAAAGTTAACTGCGGACGGTTGGAATAATATACTTAATATTGGCTACATAATATGATATAAATTAAAATGAAGAGATTCAACCAAAGAATAAATGTTTCGAATAATGTTCTGCGGTTCGTGGGTAATGAGTACATAATTATGCCTACGAATTGATATGACGTACCTACTACTATATTATGAGGTTTTAAATAAATCGTTTGTATTCGTAATTCGGCAATCATATAAATTATTGATATTACGATTAGGAATTACCTAATGTTATTAATGGTTCAAATTAAATCGCTAAAAAGTGTGTTGAGTTTGTTTTATTTTACAAATCGGATGATCATTTTGCTATTGTTTTCAACTAATGTAATATAGGATTAAAAAAAGATTAAAAAAACTCTGTTCACTCTGTGAACTTGTTCCTTGCTACTTGTTGCTACAGTTAGCAATATACCTATTATTACGGTTCATTATATTATACTATTACTGCATTAGGACTCTATAGGGCCTTGCCATCCTAAAACTACTAGTATAACTCATTGATTTATATCAATTTAATTCTTTAGTTTAAATTTTTTTAAACAATCAATTCTCACTACCTTTTTTTTTTTGGTTTTATTAAGAGTAACAGTCCGCGTATCACGCCGTGGGTCACAGACTTCAATCATCATACTCTATCATTGAGATGATTTGATTATAATAATATAGAATATATTATAATGGATACTGATTTAATAATAATTATAATTATATTAAATTGGCAAGCTTCAATAATATGATATGATAAAAACAGAGAAACACTACGGTAAAGCACTCAAACTAATGAGTAATGACCATTGATAATGATAATATAATACACTGTACAGTGTACAGTATAATAGTCTGTGCCCTGTGGTATTCAGCAATGGATTCACACAGCGGCCATAGGTAATATCATATCATATTATAGTGTAGCCTACATTGATGATAGGTACTTGTTGAATGTTAATTAATGTTAATCTACTTAGGATACTGAATATTGTATAGAATTATTACCTCACAATGCATTACAAGAGCTGATTGTTGTCTTTGGCCAGTGAAATAGAATTCTTCCGGTCCGATTTTTATTCAGAATTCACAACTGACGTATATACGACGAATATTTTCCACCTATTTTTTGGGCGGACATATTATGTCACATAATACACACATAATATAATGTATTATATACTATACGCAAGGTCGAATAATTGCGCAAATACGTAGGTTATATACGATGGTGCGATACGGATTCGTATTAAAATTCCGAAGAAAGGTCCGTCGATATAGTGAGCTGAAGGGTTATAGGACTTATAAAAATTGATCACGCGATCGGAGTACAAAATGTGTTCTCCGTTTTCGAAAAAAAAAATCGAGATGAGTTTTATCAATAAGAATTATTATTATCATTATTATTATTATTATTATTATTATTTTATAACGTTTGACGTATTGTTGCAACCGACAGACTATAATAATATAACATTATTATTTTGTAACTATTTGTTTTAATAACATTTTAATGGCCTGCGGGTATTAATTTATGATTTAAAATGTAAACAATAATAAAAGAAAAAAAGACTATATATTATATTATAATATTATTTTTATGATAGTTCAATTTTTTAGCAAGTAATGCGTATATAATATAATATTTACAGTACATTAAAAATGCTCATAACTCACTTAAAAACTGAATTATCGTAAAAATCCAACATACAACGAAAATAATATTCTTGCCATCAAGTTTCATTATAAGTCAATTCACTCTAATTTTTAAAATAAAGAAACCACACGTGTTCTGTAGAGCGTAAATTTGCTATGTTACGCACTTTAAGACGGAGGCAACAAATAACAGTGTTACTTACTATAATTAATGTGATTAAAACTGAAACGTTAGTTTAAAATATATTAAATTTTTTGTATCAGATTTTACTTGGGACATAGGCAAACTATTCAGTTTCGGAGGCCTTGGTGTTTGGACACTTATTGATGTACTATCAGTATCTATCAGATACCTTGGTCCTGAATATGGTTCTCTATATAATTGTAAGAAAATGTTAAAATATTGGTTGTTTTAAATTTGCATTAAAGTATAACATTTATAATCAAAAATATTCCATTCTGTCATTATGTAGCTACAATTGTTTATTTTATACAGGATTTGAATTATTTACTTAATACCCATTTAAAATATGTATAAGTTTTTACTTTAAACTGAGAAGTGAGAAAATATTATATTCTGTTTAAATTCCATAAAACCGAAAAAAAATAAATACTTAAATAAAACATAATAAATAATATTATATTAGTACTGAGCTTTTGCTTTATAATTAAATAACGCGACCGTGTAAGGTACCTATATATAAACATCTGTATCGACTGTATGCACACAACTTAATTTTCTAAAATATTATATCGTATCATAAAATAAAGATTCGGTGCATATGGCCTGTTGTAAAGTGTCCGTTCCAGCACTCGAAATTGAATTCAATATTATGTTTACTAAAAGTATTTTTATTAATTACAACAAAACGTCCGTACTTAACTAAAAGTACATACTAGCTCTTGTCGTCTCCTGTATACGACTCCCTGACTTTGTCTATCACTATTTATGCTAAGCGGAGTCACCTTGTTATGATGCTCTCCGTACAATCTAGAGGTGTGTTCTATCATTAGTTTACACTTTTGATCTTTATACAGGCTTTCCTATAATATGTTGTTATAGCAAAGTAATCGAATAACAGGAAATATATAATTAGATTATTATTATGCATACTAAATAATGAGGATTATTACATTCCTCCATCCCTAGAATCAAATTACATTTGAACATAATAAGAGCTTAATCACTAAGACTAAAATCTATTACAATTATAATTTCATACAATATTTTTTTTTTTTATAATCTTAAATCTATTTCACACATCAGTTACTCTGATGGTGTCAAAATGTACAGGATTGTAATCACGTAATGGTAAAGGAGGTGGTGTGTAACCATACAATAGTTTTTTAATCGTGCTACAAACAATTAAAATTACAAATAAAATTATAATGCTATACAATATATAATTATTATTTTCATGTACCACGCGATTTGATAATCAATATCTCTATTTATGTCATCTAAAGAGCTAGATATAGAATTCAAATCGTGTAGTTTTTCAATTTTCCCAATATGTCTAAAAGGTGGTCTAATAAACGTAGCATCCTATTCTAAATTTCGTTCCTCCGTAAATATTTTTGTTTCCGGTATTATATCTATCAACTTTGAATTTTGAACTGATGTAACTGGTTGCAATTTATTTTGACTTGCATACCCTTTACGTTGTTCTTCGATCGATAATAACCCTGCACCTACTAGTTCTATAGTTTCTGTTTTTTTGTCTAATCCGCACGTTAATACTACATTCTCTTGTTCTACGGTATATATCCACGTATTCTTAAACTCTAATTTATGGAATATACTTCCATATAATTCGAAATATAAATATGTACACATTTGCGTTTTTTCCTCTAGTTTGGTGAATAACGCCATTTCACAGTTAGTATTTGAATTTTTAGAATGTACAGGTTGTATGGCATAACAGATAAAGTAATTATAAGGGGCCTCAACAATGACATTTATTAAGGAACATTATATAGGCAATTTCTAAACTACTGTTGTGGATGTGTTAGTAATTGTATACTCGTAAATGGACATTAGTGTTAGTAAGTCGGTTAGCTTGTGCCCCGTCGGGTGATAACGACGCGATGGTTGAGAATGGTGTGCGGGGTCACTTTACGCACTCGCAGGCACATGTCAAATAGCTTGTTCGAAATAATTGCAAAGAAAAATTTCGCCCTAAAGACACGATTCTACTTTTAACAGTACGCTCTTATAAATACTCCGATTTAAGTTTTGAAAAAATTTATAAATTCTTAATAACATTTCCAAGGCATCGCTCGTGATACAATTTAAAAAATATTTATAATTATTTCATTATTTTGACTTGAAAAGTTACAATTTTTTAAGTTTTGTAATCGTTTAAAAAATAATATTGACAATAAAAATTTAAAATTTATTCCGACCGATGCATCAAGCAAGTATTGAAAAATCTAAATCCGTTTTCAAAACTTATGTCGGATGACGCATTCTAGAGTATGGTTAAATTTAGAATGTGTTATTTTCAATCAAAAACGGGTTGGTGTAGAGGCCCCTTAAGTATTTTCTTACGAGTGTTTAATTGTTGTGGTGTAAAGGTCGTAAAATATTCATTAGAAGGGCTTATCGCGATATACGTGTTTTTTACGTACGCGAACTGTTTACTTTTAATTTTAATCGGCATCGGAATTATATTATACAAAATAAATTTCTGTTGATCTACTAATGGTATTTTGATATTAAACATCAATAATTGATTTTGATACACAAACACTGTCCTCTGATAATTGATACAAATTAAAAGGTTCAATATTGTCTATATCAATCGGTAATGATGTACCTTTAGGTAATGATAATTTAATTTCTTCAATGCTTTCATATAATGCTTCGTTCGATAAAACTCCCGAATGTATTTGCCCTGCCCTTGCTAAATTTATAATTTCTGATATATGGTCATCAAATGGGCAATTGGTCTCAAATGCGTACTGACCTAGTAATAAATTTAATAACAAATATGAATCTTGTATTCGTGCTTTATGATCAACCTCGATGGTTTTATTAATTACCTGATCTGATAAATTTCTTATATCTGCCATAAACTCATTAATTTTATTACGTAAAAATGTAGTGTCCCTATAACTTTGCTCTGATTGATTCATTATTGTTTTAATAACACGCGTTTGTGATTTCATGATATTCAGCGTACTTTTGTCAGATTGTTGTAATTGTAATACATTATTCGTGTTAGTTTCTACGCAATTATTATCGCAAATTCCAAATAAAATATTTGCTAAATTACCTACACCGTTAATTAATCCTCTCCTTCCTCTTTTAGAAGGATGTCCTAACGTTTTCAAAATGTTTGCTCTCTTATTTAAAATTTCATTGGTAAAATCCGTAAATACAGTTTTGAAATTTTGACAAATAATGTTCGATTTTGATGGAATTAATTCGTTTTTCAGGCAATATTGTTTCGTACTATCTAAATATGTATCAAACATTTTCTCGCGTTCGTTATAAATTGTTAGATTAACATATGTCAATAGTGTCCATTGTGTGTTTATGATCCTAACGGATCCTTTATTTTCAAAATAAAGTTCTGAGTGATTGCTCACATGTGTAATGTAGTTGTTTTATATTACAAATCAAATATCAAGTAGGCATACACGATACGAACATACATACGTGGCTACGTTATTTATAATTATTATTCTTATTCATAATTTTTCATAAAAAATTTAGT